GGGCTACCCTCCCGCTCATCTGCTCTCTCCTCTCCTCTCGGCACCCTCACCGTCCTTCTCGACCGCCGTCCCTTCTCCATCGCACTAACCACCGCGACCCCCGTCACATCACCCCCACGCGCCTCCTCACCGACCACGGCCCACGGGCCCTTCGCCAATGACGCTACCCCATCGCCTTCAAGGCGTCCACCCTCCCCTGCCTCCCCTGAGATCCGACGTCGCGGACAGATTGCAGCACCGCGAAAAATCACGACCGGAGCCCTAGATCATGTCTTTCTGCAGCATTTTTCGAGCCAGACCGATCTGGATGGTCCTGGACCCAAGACAGGCGGAAACGAGCATGGTGGCAGAATCAAGATAGCAACACCCGGATCTGAGGGCAAGGCCAAAGATCAACAGTGCTTTCCGTGTTCGCTTCGGTTTCGTTTTCCTCGTTCTGTCTTCGCTCCGCCTTGGCTGCAAAGAGATCTCAAAACGAAAAGGGTCTACGAAATCGCAACACCGGCTTACTCGCGCCCTGCCTGAGGCTCCCATGCCTCGTCGACGAAACGCCCGCGCTCCGCCTCGGGCCCTGCGCCCCACGGCCAACCGCGAGAACGCACTGCCAGAACACGACGGGGGGAGGGCACCAGCGGCGAGAAGCACACCCCGCCGAGCGGCGCGGGAGGGGCGGGGGGGCGGCACCCTTTGAGAGAGCCCGCGCGTGAGTCCCCCGCGCTACGAGGTTGACAGGATGGCGGCAGATTGTAGCGCGCCCTCTAATCAATTCATCGGCGCTTGATCGGCGCTTGATCGGCGCTTGAGCGAGCACTACGCTCCGTTGCAAGCCATAGAGCATATCGAACCAGGCGAAGGCAGGTCAAAGCTGCATGCCGACTGCCAGGCTCTCTTTCCAAGCCCACAGATCGTCTGGGCATCCACGACTGGGAAGTCACGACCCAGCACGGTGTGGAAAGAGCCCTTCTCCCGCGAGTTCCCTCATTGGCACTTGTGTCTGGTCAAAGCACACGGGGGCGATGAGGTAGCAGGAACTGCTAGACGACACAAACTGGGCAGAGACCGAGCGGACAAATACGCGAACGACGGGGCCAGGCTTCACCCTGAGATGGCCCAGAACATCCCCAGGCATGAACTGGACATGAACAGGTGGTACTCTTCGGCAGCAGGCATGAACAGCGTTCGAGATGGCTGTCCCAGAGCCAAGGGAGGAGGAGGAGGAGGAGGAGAAGGAGGAGGAAAGGGAGGAGGAGGAGGAGGAGGAGGAGGAGAAGGAGGAGGAGGAGGAGGAGGAAAGGGAGGAGGAGGAGGAGAAAAGCCTCGAGACAGCCTCGAGGAGGAGAGAGCCTCGAGAAAAACGTCTCCTCCAGGGTCGGGCCCCGCGGGCTCCTCTGCCCGCCGGGCTCCTCCCCCTCGGGCCGCAGGGCCCGCCAGGGGCCCGCCGCCCCGACCGTGCCCGAGGGCCCGGACGGCAACAGCCCCACGGGGGCCCCGTGCGGCCCTGAGCTCAGGGCCGCACAGGGCCCCGTGGCCCCAAATCGGCCTGTGCGCCCCAAATCGGCCCAACCTTTTTTCAATGTGTGTCCCACACTTCTTTCATGCTTCCAGTCTCCCTCAAACTCACACTCGTGCTTCCGTTTCGTCTTCAGGTCACACTTTTTCCATACTGCGAATTTCCCTCGCGCGGCCAACGGTGTGCCAGGCTTGGGCAACATAAGCCCCGAACACCACCTGTGCGCTCTGTGCTGCTGAAGGTCGTGACCCACCAACCCCGCACCCTGCACGCCGCTAAAGGTACTGAAACCACCCTGCCTGTGCTCGTGTGCGCATGGTGTGGGCACACTGTACGAGGTCCCCACGGCAGTTGCTACAGCCGCGCGATATTTTTCCGCAGCAGCGGAGGCAACGGTTGAGGCGTGACCTCCCCAAGCCGCGGGGATTTCAGATCACCTCCCCCTGGCCACTGAAAATCGCGCCCAGTGACGAGGCGGAGTGGTGGACCAGGATCGTATACATGTATTTTCCTCAGTTCGGTCAGACATTGGGAGTGAAGCGAGACCCACTGGATAAAGCGAGAGAGAGAGAGAGACAGGAGGAAACAGAGGTGGGGAAGGTTGGGAGAAAGAGGATGAAGCATGAGACGACGACGACGACGACGACGACCACGGATTTGGGGCAAGGAGAACGGGCAGGCGAAGGAGAGGAAGAGGACGAAGGAGAGAGAAAGCGAGACGGTGACGGAAAGCGACGAGAGATATAGAGGAGCGGGGAGCGACGAGAGGTCGAGGCCACGGAGGCGACGGAGGCGACGGCGAAGACAACGGCGCGGACGAGAAAGCGGAGCGGATACGAGGAGGCCGCGGACAATGGCGCAGGGGCGAGGGCAATCGACAAGCGAGGGAACGCCGGAGCCGCGCCCACCCACCCCTCTGCACCCCCGCGCCTGCAGCATGCCCCGCACGTGCAGCAGCGGCTTGACGCGGCGCACCCACACGTGGGCCTCCTCAGGGGGGCTTCGATCCTGGGCCACCCCTTACACGTAACCCCTCCCTGTCGCACTCCGAGGCCAGTCGGAAGGGCGGGCCCGGCGTTTCGCCTGAGACTTCCTCACCACTTCTGATTCTCAGGCTTGAAACTTGCAACAGCTTCACGGAAGGAGGGCAGGCGGTCTTCAAAAGGTGGCTCTCGCTCAGCGCCACGCACATTCGAATTTTAACAATTGTAAGAGCTTCACGAGTTGAGGGCGGGCCGTTTTCAAAATGTGGCTCTTGCAGCGCCGCGCACACTCGACTGGAGGGCGGGCCGTTTTCAAGATGTGACTCTCGCCCCAGCGCCGCGCGCATTCTGTTGCTAAATTTGCAAGAGGTGCCCGGATCGAGGGAAGGCCGTTTTCGTTTAACAAATATTGCAAGAGTTTCACGGATTGAGGGCGGTCCCTTTTCAACATGTGTTTCTCGCCTTCGCGCCGCGCGCATTCGTTTCAAGAGATTGGAAGAGTGTTGCTGCATCCCATGGTTAACGTACCAGATATGGCGTTCTGGAGGGATTCAGGATTGTCAGGGCGAAAGGGTTACCTAGATTCGCGGTGTGTAAGTTGCAAGATCTGCTCTCTGGCACGATTCTGGATCGTCAAAGCGCAAAAGTTCAGTTGACTCGTGGCGTTGAAATTCCTAGAATGGTGCTTTGGCACTCTTTAGGATATTCCAACGGTTGTCTCCCAACGAATGACTTTCCTGATTGGAAATGATCCCAGGGCCTATGAAGAGAGAGATTGGAGAGAGGGTTTATTACAACATCGTTGGTGAGTCTTGGGGTTACACTGGTCCTCCTCCTTCTCCTCCCCCCTCCTCCTTCGCCAGTTCCTCCTCTCCCAAGTCAGGAAGGTCGCGAAGGCGTGCCCCTACCACCCACCAGAGCGAAGTGAAGTCTGGCCGCGGGCCTGCAAAGGACTCCGCCCAGAAGAGACGTGGGGTCCACGGCATTGCTCGACCCGACCTATTCCCACTTGAAATGGTATGTGGGCGTGGGCGTGAAACAAAACTACCCCCCGTCCTCCTCCCACCCGCCGCCTCCCCCTCCTCCGCCTCCTCCTCGTCCTCCTCCTCCTCCTCCTTTTCTTCTTCTTCTTTGTCTTCGTATTATTCTTATTAGTCTTCTTATTATTATTTTTCGTCTTAGTATTAGTATTATTATTAGTAGTATTGTTCTTCTGCTTATTATTAGAATTACTATTATGATTAACACGATTATGAAAACTATTAATACTAGTACTATCAGTATATTACTCGTATTAATATGATTGGTATTATTATGTGCATTCTTAGTAGCGTTAGTAGTATTATCATAATTATGATTATTGTTATTAGTATTATTAATTTCAGTAGTATCAGTATTAGTATTAGTTTTAGTATTAGTATTATCGTTATTGTTATTATTATTATTCCTATCATTGGAGTTATTAGTATTAGTACTATTATTCGTACTATTATAAGTATTATTACTATTGGCAGTAGTCTTCTTCTTCGCCTTTTTCTTCCTCCTGCTCCTCCTCCTCCTGCTCCTCCTCCTGATCCTGCTCATGCTCCTCCTCCTCCTCCTCCGCCTCCTCCTCCTCCTCGTCCTCCTCCTCCTCCTCCTCCTCCTCCTCCTCCTCCTCGTCCTCCTTTTCCTCCTCCTCCTCCTCCTCCTCCTCTTCCTCCTCCTCCCTATGTGACCTCGCATAGCCTCAGCGCCCCAAAAAAACCCAAAGCCCCAAGCCTCAAAGCCTGGGGAACGCCAGTGAACCCAAGAGCCCCAAAAAGCCACGAGAGATCTCGATCCCAAAAGACTCTCAAAGCCCCGAGAGCTCAAAGAGCCCAACGCCGCAGCCAGCGCATGTAGCATAGCCGTGCGCGTATGCATGCACCGCCACATCGCATGCCGACATGCGCTGTCCCTTGACGCCGCGACGGGCTCAATGCGGCAGTGCGCGGCGGAACATGTTGGCGCCCTCCCTCCCCCCCCCTTCCCACCCATGCCAACAATGTTTCTTGACATGCAATGGCGCCCACATGTTTGGAAACCGCGCACGTGCCCAAAACTCCTTTGCATGATCTTGTGGTTGCCGTTTCTGGGCGAACCGAACGATAGCATGATGTGTACAATTGTATGTTATGGAATGTTTCCTGGGTGCGTTGCCGGCCCCCGCGCGCATGCCAGCGTTCGATAGCCTAGGACCCCGCCGCATCACAAGGAAGAAAAACTACATCAAGCAAGCACTCACGCCGCAAGAACCCTAAATGAAGAATCGCCTCCATCAACGATGCATCCCACATGTGTGTAAGTAAGAAATCCAGTCGACGCCAGTCTCTGGTCACTGCGGCACCTGGTCATCGACGCCTGCAACGCCAGAGATAGAGCCGACGACTCCGTCCGACCGCACCTCGAATGCATGAAAAGCATCGTTGAAACTGCGTTTCGACACAGCCTTGGGGACGGCCGTCGCGGAGGCACCTGCTGCAGCGCAGGTAAAGCACTCGCTGCACCATCATGGGGCCCACTCGACCTTGCTGCGCCAGAACGAAATGAACCGCGATGCTCAGAAGCACCAGGTGCAGGTACACCTGGTACATTTCAACGGACATGACCAAGGTCGTCCCTTACTGAAGCCCGCGTGGTCAAATTGCTTCAATCTGCGCAGCAATGGGCAAACCGCGAGGTCCGCGCGGATGAGCGCCCTTCGGCGGCGAGCCAGGCCTACACGGAGGAGCCAGCAAGGAGTCCAACGTAGGCGTTTGGGACCTGCTGTTGGCGTGGCTGCTTCTCTGGCTGCTCCCCCTGCGATAATACCACTTCCTCTGCCGCCGCCAACCCCTCGTCGTTGTTCTCCAAACTGGCGGACCGTCTCTTTGAGGCTGGCGGTTGGGGGCCCTCGCCGCGGCCGCCGTCGCGTTCCAGAAGGTCATCTCGACGTCGCTTGAGAGACTGCTGCTGCGACTGGAAGGGGGGAAAGGGGCCTGCGCTCTGGATCTGATTTCCAGCCTGACGATGGGCACTCGCAATGTCATCTCGTGAATGCGTTCGTACCCGACAAGGAGCTCGGACCGATAAATTATGATCACTGGAAATTTGAATCTGACCGTCTCATCAATTCCATCGGTCGCCATTGGCGTGGGCGAATGAACAATGAGCAACGCACCAACCGCGCTCTCAACTAAAGGTGTGAGCGCAAAAGAAATAACTCTCGAACAGAAGACGCCACGGCATGTGATTTGTCGAACTTGAAGAACGACCACACCCAAGTAACAAACCATTGCTACTCCAATGTTGCTCAACATAACCCCAAAAACCAAAGCACCCAAACATCCTGAAAGCCATTGGAAGCCCGACAACCCCGGAATACCCAAGCACCAAGACCCCCAAGAATACCAAGATACCCAAGAGATGCGCCCAAGCACCCGCATACCATACATCTTTACAGAATCCCAAGGAGCTCGAGCCAACCATGGTGATATTTGTTGCGCGTTACGTTGGCATGTACTAATCTAGTTTGCACATAGGTACGCGCATTAATTGCTGCGTTGCGGTAGCAGGCAAACCAACAGATCGCACGCATGTAAGCATGCAGCTCAACATCATCACATGGTTGGTTATTTCCCTGGTCATGCACCAGGGATGACCAAAAAGACGAACGTCCACACCTCCACCTTCGCCTTGCCTTTCTCCAACTCTGACTCACGCAAAACCAGGCCAACCCACGCTCATTCTCGAGCGCGCGCGCATACCCACCCGAACCCGCCCTCATCTCGACGTCGTAGTCCAGGCAAACGCTACACGCAAGCTCATCAGAACTCGATTCACACCCTCAACTTAAATCAACTCGGGCCAGCTCGCCGCGCCCGCCGGCACGGACGCCCGGGCGCCGGGCGGCAGAACCAACATCTAACGTAGAACTGCCCACCGTCGGTTGCACGGCCCCGCTCTCTCTGCCCCGTCTCGCGCGCGCGCGTTGCCGCGCTCAAGAACCGCGCGTGCCCGGCACCGGAAGAACGCGCTGGCGTTTCACGGAGACGCCCCCGGGCAATGCATCGGCGACGCCCGCAAAGGCTTAACGCCAAGCAGCGACCGACGCATGATCGGGCCTCGTTGGCCGAGTCCCCCGCGACGCAAGCGGCCCGGGGGGGGTAGCGCAACTGCGCGCGGGCCGCGCCCCGATGCGTCACTGCCGACGGGCCGCGCCCCAAAACCGGTAGGGGCCACCACCTCCCCGCCCCGCCCGACGCCGCCCGCCGCGCCGCGCCCCCCGCCCACCCCGCCCACGCCCGCGCCGCCCAATCGCATTGACGCACGCGCGCGATGCCCCATGTCAGAGCGCGCTGGAGGGCTCAGCAAGCCCCGCAATGCCTGCGCGCCGCGCAAGCGCCTGAGGCCCCGCGCGCAGCCCAGGCAACACTCGCCCAGACACCCACGCGGGCCCACAAGACCCACGGACCTCGCGCCGCCGCGCCCGCCCCGCCCCACCCCCCCCCGCCCGCCTGCGCACTCGCCCATCACCCCCGCGCACGCGTCCACCCCCACCCAAAACTTCGGACCCCGCCCACCGCCATCCCCCAACACCCCCGCCCCACCACCCCCACCCACCAGTTCCCCCCCCCGGCACACATGCCGCCGACGCCACCGACGACGCCACCCAACCAGCTGCCCAGGCCCGACAGCGCGCGCCCTGCCCACCCCAACACCCCGACCCACACTGCTCTACTCTGCCCCGCCCGCCCCACCCCACGCGCGGACAACCCCTGCCCCGCGCAAAGCGCCAGCCCCCCCCCCCGCGCACCAAGCCCCAACCTCGCCCTGCCAATCCAGTCACCCACGCCGCACCGCCACACACCTCCACCCACCCACCCACCCAACCACCACCACCGCCGCAAGCCCGCGCGCCCAAGCCCACCGCGCGCCCCGCGCGCCTGCCCTTCCCACGAGGCCCGCCACGAGCCCGCGTCGCCCCCTGACTTCGTCGACACAGCG